CAGTCGCTCAATAATTAATTTGCCCCAGCCATCGTCGTCCTAACGATCTATGGTGATAGCCACGTGTCCCAAACGGACCCAAATAGGAAGTCAATTATCCCCGAAATGTCGTTAACAACATAAACAAAAAAATGCAACAAAAAGTTGCCCCCACAAAAAAGGTTTGCTACTGCTACTGTTCGATGGACTTATAAATTATAATGAACTGTCAAATATTTTTTTTAATTTGTATTTGTGCTGAGAGCTGATCGAACTTTTTTCTATGACTAAACAGGTTTTATTCGACGTTAGGTTTAGCCTTTTTATTAATAGAGACTCAAAATTATCTCGTCAATCATAAAAACAATACCTATTTCCATGTTATTAACCTTTTTCTAGTTATACTGCTAACTCGACTCCTAACTAAAACAGATGTTTTATATATTTTCAGAGACTTCTCTGTGTTTGTGTAGAGGTCAATAATATTGCTGCTTTATTAGGGATGACGACTGGGTAAAAAAATGCAATTCTATTTAGTCCGTCAGTCAGATAATAGAAAAATATTAGATACGTATTGTTTTTTTACTTCAATTTAACAAGAAATAGCTTAGATAACAAGCATTAAAGTTGAGGAGTGGGGGCTCGCTACGTCACAGTTGAGTAGAAAACGTACCATAACGTGACGTCATGCATGTAACGCCGTAATTTTATGATTACGAAAAAAATAAAAAATACGTGTTTAATATTTTTTAACACTCTACCTGACGGACAAACAAACAAAAAATAGTCATCATCCCTATTGCTTCGAGATTATGACAGTACAGTTTGTCAATTTACAGATCACAAAATTATTAATAATTAAAATGTTAAAACCCTTTTGTTTTATTACTAACTTACAAAAGCTATTAAGAATGGTGTTGTAGATTTTAATAATAATATATTAATATTCATGTTGTTCGTTGACGGTTATATCAAAGAAAAGCAAAATTATTTACCATGAAAAGTCTCTACAGTGGCTTTGAAATTAAATTAGTCTATTTGACTAACCTATTATGATAGTTGTTTTGATTTCGGAGACCAAAAATAACCACGATATTCGATCACTGTTAGGAACAGCAGAACGATACTATAAAAATCCAAACTCGAATTTGATTTCACTCGTGTGTCCAAATGTCATTTAATAAGGAAATTCTATTGATTCCCTTTTTTGTTTAAATATACAAAATTTAAAAAATTGATTGACTATATTTTTATTCCTATGTCATTTCAAAACTCACTTCACTTATGCCACGAAACGTTAATACCAATTCAAGGTTGACCGGATGCCGTTTTTTAATGTGAATTTGGACACCTGAGTGAATTCGAATTCGGAATCGGATTTTTTACGGAATCGCAGGGCTGATTGCTACAGTTAAATTTCGAATGTAGTGTCGTCATAATATCGAAATTGTGTTTTTTTTATAATAAAGAAAAGTAACGTATGTTTTAAAAAGAGAATGCTATAAATGAACAAGTTACATTACAATAACTACAAAGTTAGTTCCAACCGTAGAATATCAGGGTCTTTCCAAAAAGGTTTTTTTTTAAACATCTCGAACGACAAAAGTAGCCTGACTTATTTATTCAATTATTAAAAATTGTGAAATTTCTAGTTCCTTTTAAAGAAGAATTATTGAGGACTAACAAGTGTAACGAAGAAAACTCTTTGTTTGTCTTAACGTAACGTGAACGTGACGTAACCGATACGCGTCCGCAGCAGGCAAGGCGCAGCACGCTCAGTTTTAATTAGTGTCGCCATATGTGACGCCTCACGCGGGCACGGCTCTCCTCATACCACCTTGGTGATAGTATAATTATCTCGCTATACGACGGTTTATCGTATAACTTAAGTTATAAGCGAGAAGATGTTTTCGTCACTGTAATTGAATAAGGTACGTTTAAAAAACCTACTGATTTTGAAATCCCGAGTTTAACAACTAGAATCCGTTTAAATTGTAGTTGTACGGTGAACTGGCTACTTTAATTATTAGCTAAACATGTCTGATATTATTTTGGACCATGCTTTAAAACTAAGCAAATAAAAATTCTATCTGTATAGGTAGATAATTTTCATTTTTTTATTTTAAACTAGAATAAAACCATGTTTACAGACGAGTAAACTTATCATACACCTACTAGACACTCAAAACAGTTACCAGAGTTAAATGACAAACAAAATCTTTACTTACAACTATTATTTGAGAATGGAATTATGTGCCATTAGCAAAATAGGGACATTTGAAAAAAATGTTAGATTTAAAATTTAATTTGTGTTATTACCTTTTATGTTTTTCAACATCCTTACTAATATTACACAAAATGAAAAAAAATATTAGAAACATTTTATATATTACCCTCATTGCTATTGATATAATTAATATGTTTGACGCTACTGCTCATGAATTATAACGCAGCCGAAATGAAAAATAGTTAAAACTACTTACGGGTTAAACTTAAAAACGTTTAATTTTGTCGCTTGTTTCTTGGAACATCGGGAGACAACAAATGTGCACTAATGATGTGACGACCCATTAAATAATTTGTTATCTTAGAAGTCGTGTTTATTTTTGGGAACGGTTGAAATAATGTTACTCGAACGCTATTGTGGTAGTTGTTGAGGATTTCAGTTGCTGTTTTATGGGAAATCAGACTTTATTTGTCAATTTCAAAAGGGTTTTTATTTTGATGTATGTAATAAACGGATGTAATAAACCATGCATGATGATTTTATGAAATACTATTTTCCCGCAACTTCACTTGCGTATATTATAAGCCTATGTTGTAGCTCCCCATTGGTTTCTATTCCCCTATTCAATGCAAACTGATAATCAAACCTTTCTTCTTTATAATATTAGTACAAATATCCCGATGCAATGGGATCCTCATATTGATAGCTTGTCAAGTAAACTGAGTTCTGCAGCTTTTGCTGTTAAGAAAATTACACTCTTGACAAATGTTGAAACGGCAAGATTGGTATGACGTATTGACGTATGGTCTATTGTGGTGGGGTTCTGCGGCTAGCATTCAGGATATTTTTATTCTACAAAAGAGAGCTGTCCGTGCTATATATAATTTACGGTCTAGGGAATCTCTGAGAGAAATATTTAAAGAAATAAATATTCTGACTGTTGACTCTCAATACATCTATGAGAATATTATGTACACAAGAAAACATTACGATTCCTTCACAAAAAAAAGTAGTGTTCATAATCTTAACACAAGAAATAAAAATAAACTTGCCGTTCCAAGCTTCAGACTTCGAAAAACCAGAGGATCATATCTGGGTAAATGTATTGCTATGTTCAATAAAATTGCACAAAATGTAATTGACCTACCCATAAATAAATTTCAAATTCATGTAAAGAAAATACTTATGAGTAAAAGCTGTTATAAAGTTGATGATTATTTTGAGGATCGCAATGCATGGAATTAATAGCCTTCGCTTTGTTCTATAAAGACTAATTATATGTTCAACCTATGTCCTACGACCTTGGAAAGTTGTATTTATTATTGTAATAATACATATTACTTTGGTAATGACATGATTTATGTAAATGTCATTAGTTATGATAAAAAGCTGGTAAGTTTCCTTCGCTTGTTCTTCTTGTCAGCTAAAAGACGTCCTGAACAAGTGGTAGGGGAAAATTTTTTTTTGGACGATTCAAAATTGCTTGTAATAGCCTACTTGAATAAAGATATTTTCATTTCATTTCATTTCATCACAAATTTGAAACATAATATACTTACAAGATACCAAACTTTAAACATATACCAAACTTTCTTTCTTTCTGTTCATTTTTCGTAATTTGAAATTTGTAGCAACGAAATATGCTCTTTTTGTAAAAAAAATTCTTCCGGCAAGGATATGGTCATCATTGAAAATTAATAATATATTTTTAAATTATGTACGTTGTATAAACGTGATTTACAAATGTATTTGTATAAGTTTGCATCGTATCTTCTAAGTAAAACTCATGAAAGGTGTATGTAGTTGTTTTATTTAAGTATCTACAAACAATCATAATTTTAGAAATCCATACGAACTGTATTTATATTCTTTTTTTTGTTATTACAGTTTTTTATTTACCCCATATATATACCTACTTATCAAGCCTAGTCAAATGGTTCATTTACCAACCAACACCTTTACACCAAACCTATGACATACCTACTTCAAAATAATAACTTCAATAACAAAATCCATACCATCAAAGTAAGTTTACTATACTAGCTGTTTTAATGCGATTTCGCCTATCGACCTCCTGATAATTCTTAATAATATCATTAATAAAGCATCTAATTCGACAAAACCTAATATTATATCACACTGAATTAATGTATCAGTATCCAAGTCATGATAAATATCAAAACAATCATTCCCTGTTTCTTATATTTAACCGAACTTTAACTGCAACTAAACTGAGTTTTCTCCGTGCTCTGTAAAACTGCTAATTTATTTTCAAGCTGCTCTAGGAACTTTATTAACATTAGACTTAGCGGTGTTGTGAGTTGCACTAGCTTCCTTTCAGAAGCAATCTCCTATTTAACTTCGCAATGTTGTTAACTTTTTACACTTAACACACGTAGATACATTATTTTCAGCAAATTTAGAAAGAAAGCAGACGATTTAAACTATAAAGATTGACATTTGTTATTTTTTTTAATTTCCTTTATTTTTTTCAATTATATACCAACCATAATACCGACCAAGGTCATCTAATAAATCGCTTACAAGAATTATTTTGAAATATTAAATTACGCCAGCAAAGTTTTGTCTTTAAATTGTAAATAAAAAAGCTTAAACCCACTTCTTAAAATCGTATATAAAACTGACGGACTTCATTATACACTTTCGACTAAAAACTTTCCACTGACTTACAGGTTTAGTAAGAAAGGTTTAATTCTGAAATATATTTATGCTAAAATTGTAGTTAGTATTTAAAACAGAATCATATGATCAAACAGATAATTAGAATAACTCTTAAGGCTGACCTTCTAAGAGTGATATTAATCCCTTATTATTGACTTATATACAGTATAACTAGAAGACAATTAAAAAAGTCAAGTCAATTCCATCGGCGTGTTTATATGGCCTAAGAATTTCATCCTTAGATTACCATTATAATTAGAAAATGAGTGAAAAAGGCATAAAGATTTCTAACCCTAGGGGAAACATATCTCCGAGTTTAGCTGGTTTACTTATAAAAATAAATGAACTTATGAAGACTATCTTTACCTGTGTTTCTGTGACATTCAGCAACTTGGCCATATCAGCCCTTTCTCCTGAAGACAGGTACTTCTTCACTTCGAACAACTTCTCGAGTTCGAAGATCTGTCGTCCAGTGAAGGTGGTTCTCGCTTTTTTTCTCCTGCCTACTCCTTGGTCTTCGCCTTCCTCGCTGGTCAGGGAGCCCTCACCGCCGAGAGGAGATCTCACATCGTCCGTGGACTTTTTTCTTTTTATCAGCTTTGATGGATCTGGGGAAAATTGGGTATAAATTTAAAATGGCGGTAAAAGTGTTGCTGGATTGCAAATATTCATGTTTAATAATTCGAATGGCAAAGGAAGGTAATTTATTTTACGAGATATTTCTCCTTTCCTTTACCAGATTTGAACGGTAATATAAAAGTTAGCTGAATGGATCCAGCCTTTCTCGAGTTATACATTTAGCGGTTCATTTATATAGATTAGCTCTTAAAAACAACTTGGGAAGCATTTAAAATTTAATAACCCATAACTTTCTCGCCGTTCATAATTACCAATCAAGGTAACCAATTAAAGAAACAAACACAAAATGAAAAGAGAGAAAAAAGTAAACCCGTCATACATTAATTAAGAAGAAGCCACTAAATCAAGCGAACGGACGGGCAAATCTCTAGTGTGCATTGTAAATCCGTCAAATGTTACAACTACGAGCATGCTAGATGGCAGCCGTTATGCAACCATTAAAGTATCTGAGCCAGTAGTTCCCAACTGGTGGCCTGGAGAAATTTTAAGTACGGTTTAAAGTGTCTTGATAAAAAAGTGAAACTAATATATATCTGCTTATTCATGTAAAATATTCATGTTTTACATAAAATATGTATAAGTATAGAGAAAGAAAAGGTGCCTTAACATCAACGCCTGACTTACACAACTGAGATAATAACTGAGGTAATTTAGCTTTAAAACTTAACTCGAACTTATGTTTTAAAGCTGAAATCGGGAATTCTTTAGTTCTATGGACTAGATTGGGTTGGGTAAGGGTCTGGGGTTGACGTGCTCTCTGAAGCCCTGCGATCTGTGTCACTGGTATTTTGATCTGACTTTTTACTAAGAACCGGAGAGTGCCTTTACCTTCTTATTAGTGTTTTCATCAATAGTAGAGCGAATTTTTGGCGTCGTCTATTAGGCAAGGCGTACTTAAAAATATATTTACACATATATGTTAACAATACTGTGTCAACCTATTATTGGTGTATATATATAAGATTTAAACCTAACTGTAATCTACTGAAGTAATTTGAAATAAAAATAAGGATTAACCCTATTGAAATCCAATCAATATCAATTTATTAATAACAAAACACAAAAACTTGTCCATAATTTTATGACATTTCAAAGTAATACACACGGTGCGAAAAATAGAATCGAACCATTTTCAAAAATCGAAAAAGAAACATTAGTATGTTTTGATAAAAAACTTATTTTTATACTTTCCTTTGAAAGCTCATTTATGTCATGCATGACCCATCTTCTAACAATAAGGAAAGAATCTACGCCAATAGTGGTGTCATTAATATCCTTATGTCACCTTCTTTATCTAATAAATTTGCTAATAATTTTGAAAAAAAATAAATAAAATGACACAGCTCAATTTTCTTTAACTCGATATAGTCCCATGTTATTAAAGTTGAGAACCAATGGTCTAGACAGTAGCGCAAGCAATACAATCATCTGTTGTTTAATGAGGAATATCATCGATTTTTTTATTTCTAGGTTATAGTATACTCTATTAAAAATGAATAAAAAAACATGTTAAAATTATTTTTTTCGATATGACGTATAGTTTTCAAAATATTCAATTTTTAAGGTAGACGCACAACGCGCGGTCGCTTCTCGCTACTGTGACGTCACTTTATCAGACTCGGTCAGCGCGCGCTATACTCCCGAGTACTTCTAACTTGTTTTTGATCAAAAAATATTTAACATGTCGAATCCACAAACAAAATAAACATTTATTGTGTTGAGCCTAAAGGCTCTTTATGCCCATGGCTTGATGTGATGTTATTCGATATCGAGTAAAATGTATGAAGAATCGTAAGTTACTCATGAAATTGTACACTAGGAGCGATATCGGTTATGCTAACATGCACGGGTAGTCAATTTGAAAATACATAATAATAACACTTTTTTCAGACTTCTACAGACGTATTCTATGTTAGTACTGTTAGTAAATTAACATCTTAAATCTAAAGCCACCTAATACTATCTTATACCAAATATTATATATATATATATATTATTCAATTTGATTAAAGCAATGAATGTATCCCTTATATAGCAACAGGTGAAAAGCTCGATCGTGTAGTGGTTAGCGCGTTTGATCAGCGACTGTTAAGCAACGATCGCAAAGGCCGATAATCAGATGGGTGATAAATTATAATACACGCGGGCCCAGTACGGAATGCTGTGTGGACAGGTTTCATACATTAAGAATACGTGTGTTTTAGCATCATCGATCCGCTTTGGGTCTCACACCCGGGCCCAGTACGGGTTGCTAGATGGATTGGTGACATCCATTATGAATGCTTGTTTTTAGCACTACTACATGGACGGCACACGAAATAACTTATTGTAATTGTCGTCAAGAAACCAATACATTTTACGAGTGACTTAGGGGGTCAATTCTACTAAATAAATTTTGTTTAAATCGAATCGAAAACGGATCGAAACCGAACGAAACTCCAGTTTTTAATGGTTTTTCTATTCTACTAAGTGACATACAATACAATCCCAGCTAAAATAGAACTGGAATTGTATCGTATGTTACTTTGTAGAATAGGAAAACCATTAAAAACTGTAGTTTATTTAGTAGAATTGCCCCCTTGTACTGCGAGTGCGGCGCGTTGTAGCGTGACATCACACGCTTAGGTTAGGTTGGGTTAGGCGCACGCACAAGGCGAAATATTTGAAAAACGTAGAAATTGAAACATTCGTATTGATTTTTATGAAACAAACACAGGTGTATTTCTAAATATTATGACTATACGGACACTGGCGAATATAAGTATTTATCGAAGGCACCGAAGATAATACATAATGCTTTTTTATTTAAATGGCGTGGTCATTCCATAAACGTTTTATGACTTTGCAATTAACTCTTCGCAGATCTTAATTTGTGATATATTTATGTATTAAAACAACAAAAGATAAGGAATCGGGCAGAAAGTTAAAATTTTAATGTAAATTGGTGATCGACCGGCGGCTCATCATGAACTTCAAACAATATAACGATTTTCTTAGATGCGGTATCTTGTACCTACCTGCCTTGTCCTCTTCAAAGAGTCTTGACATTGATTGTTTGACATTCAATAAACAAAACTATCAAAAGCAAGGTAAAGGTGTACCAGAATGTGATGGCAAAAAAACAAAAGAAACAATCTCGATTTTCATATGGCAATGTTACTTACAACTGTCAAGAAAAAGTGTAAATTGTTGTGAATATTTGTGAAAATATTTATTTATTTTATAAAAATTCCCAAAAAGCCATTGATATCTCAAGTTAGAAATATTGTTTTTAATGTTTATAGCATGATTTGTATAAATAAGATGAAGTACAACGATTTTTTTTATTTTAAAGTGTGTTTTTTGTATTGACTGGTAATACATTGGACTTGTAACACATATTGGTAATACATGTCGACTACCAAAATAAAATGAATCATAGTGAAGAAGAAGATATGAAGACATTATTCTACATCGGGGAAAATAAGAACGGTGAAATGAAAAAAATCAATTAAACCAGATTTTTTATTCAAGATTCTGGGTCAGGTGAAATATTACTGGGTTTTCTCTGGCGGGGAGGGCACTGTCCAATTAAAAGATTAGATCGTAGTAATATAGAGTGTACAGCTGTATGTTTGTATTTATACTCTATAATGTCTTACCCAGATGTGTAATTTACGTCAAAATTTGCCGAGATCGAAATTCGATCTGGAGTATGTTCAATGATATGAGGCAGTTGTTAAAAAGTGTTTTATAAATTATTACAAGTATCAAGACGTCTTTATCCTGTTTCCCCAATGTTGCCGTCTACAAATTAAAACTTACTGATTTGAAATCAGATCCTGGTGCACCTGTAGTGTATTTAAGGTTTTTATGTGTAGTCTTTTTAATTTTTCCTTTATTACTTTAATGTAATAATAACATTATTATATAAAAAAGCTTTCTACACTTCTTGTCCATATATACTTTAATTCTCCCAAAATTCATACTTTTCTGCCAACATCTTTGTTCATAATGATACTGCTATTATACATGTACAATTTTTATTCGATTCTTGAATAGTAGATGATCATCATCAGCCTATTAATGTTATAAGCCTTCCCATGGATATAATCAAATAGCGAAAATGGCCCAGTGTAGATTGGTAAGTATTAACGAGTGCAGGTGCTACCGGAATCAATGGCTTAGCTTCGAAAAGCACGAAGGAGAGTGAGATAGTAAAGTTTGGTCACCCATCCTAGTAGACAAAAAAAGTAATTATAATGACGAGTATATTTCTCATTCAATAAACAGAAAAGTGATCGTAAAATACTAAATCAACACGTTAATTAAATTAAATATCTGTTTTGCATAATCAATCACATTCATTTATTTGCCTACGGCATTGAGTAACGGTGGCTTTCTCGGATCAATTTTAATGAATATGATAATTAATGAGATAGTTATCTAACTGTCCCTAATTGATAAAGGTTATGTTTGTAAATAATATATATATTTTTGTGATATCATATATAAGGGGAAAATGTATTCACGTTTTTTGGTAATGAAAAGTTAAAGGTGTCTTTAAACTACTAACTACTACTAAACATGTACACGGTCTAATGTACACGGAGCTTTTTGTTAACATCTCTACTACAATTTTTTCACTATTATAAAAGTAAATATGAGAATGTCTATAAAAATTAAAATTTAATTTATTAAATGGTCATTTTATATTCTTCGTAAATGAAGTGATAATTTTTTTCTTGTTTATGGTTATAAAGATGTATCAATTAATAAATTCAACTTATTATTAATGGAATCATTGTGTGATACACATATTTTTTTTAGTTTAAATTATTAGTATATTTGTAAATTTTTGAATGCGTGTGTAAAGTCGCGGGAAAATAAATAGTATTATTATAAAGATGAAAGATTTGATTTGTTTGTTTATTTACATTAAAATCTTAATTCAATGTAAACAAACAAATCCAAATACCAATTTGAAATA